CAGGTCCATGTCCTGCAGTGCTGAGGAGCCCGGAGCTGGTTGTGGTGCTCCACGTGTGGTCTGTGGCAATAACTCAGTTTGGTGTGCTCAGAGCAGTCTCAGGGGCAGGGAAGGTGTTCCCTGTGTACCTGTGGCTGCTCAGTGCCACGCTGGCACCGCTGACCTGGTTCAAACTGACTGCACAGACGTTTTGCTCAGCTCGGGTTTCAGTGGCAGGGAGGTGAGGTAGGAAACAGTCAGTAAGAAAAGGGCTGGGTTTGTTGACTGAGGTTTAGAAAGCTTTTTAACAGGGTGAATTGTTGGTTGTATCTGAAGTGAAACACTGCTCTCCTAACTGCTCTCATTTCCTGTATCATTCCAGCCTGTTCCCTGCATTAATTACAGCTCAGATTTACAGTGTATTTGGTTACACATTCTAACTTTTCAGCCCATGTGTGCATTCCACACACATGGACTGAATTTGACTGTAATTTGCTAATTTTGTGGGGAGAAGGGATCTGGCTTTTCTTCTGTTTTGGTGTAAAAGAGGCTTTTCTTTTTCCAAAGGAGGAGCAGTAGCTGAGAACAGCCAGTGTTTGGAGAGTTCAACATTTCAGAACGACAGAGATGAGAGAAAATATTATCTTGTGAATTGTAAATGTGGCATTTTTAGTTTGGCTGGTGTTTCCCAGAGATTAGTGGATAATGGGAATACTATCGTGCTCTTGGCTCGACCAGTATTCAGCTTGCTACTTCAAGTATTGTATAAACACAGTGCCTCGGAGTTCAGCTGGATGAAGTAGAGCATTTCACAGCTGAAGGAGTTTTTTGTGACCTGAAATATGAAGTGTGATGGGATACTGAGCATGAAATCTAGTTTTGGAAATGAGCTCTTTAGGAACTGTAAAACACAGAATGTGATTGAAAGGAAGTTTCCTTTTGAGTCTAACATTTTTCTTTTGGCTGTATGAAAACATAAGAGGTGGTGCACTAGGAGGAATGGTTTTGGACAGCCCATTCAGATTTTTTAATTCATTCTTCACATTTAAACTGATGCTGCAGASGATTTTCATTCAGAATATTTTATGTCATGGTTTCATAAGTAAAAGATCATGAATTAAGTAGAATTAAATATCAAACATGTTACTGCTTTTAAAATGAAGCATTCCTAAACAACTGCTTTAGAAAAACTGATGTGATGATTATCAGTAAGAAGAATAATGGTATGATGAATTAAGGAATGATATGAGGAATCATACCACACAAAAGAGCAACTGAATGCAAGTTCTGCAATAACTAGGCAAAAAGTAAGAGGAAAATTCCAAATAACCTTGTTTTGAAATACTGGATCCTTCTTTGTTTAGCCTTGCCACTTGTCACTGCTTTTCATCTTCCCTCTTACCCAGGCACTTTCTTGCCTGAATCCCACTGGAGCCCCACTGTTGTCCAGCCTGGCAGGACAGACCCTCCAAGCACACACCCCAAGGGCACCACTCCCTCCTCCATCCCCAGATTGACCAGAGGTGCTGCTTCAGAGCCAGTCATTAAAAATTCCTGCATTGGATCATCCCTCCTGACCTGTGCAAGGTGCTGGCTCTTCCAGGACCATTTGGTTTCCTATGGAGAGGGGTGGGAGTGGGCAGGCTGTGGAGCAGCAGCAGAATTTGGCTGTCAGTGCAGCAGCACAGCTTTGGAGGGCAGGAGCCCACGGGGTGCTGAGTTGAAGCCATGCCTGGCTGCTGGCTGTGATTTTGTTAGGATTTCAGAGTACAGGGTTTTACACACTAATCCTGACTGGCAGTTGGAGATTGGTGGTTTCCAACACAGAGTAGCTGATTTCTCTGGGGTGAAACAATACCCCAGTGTGTCTGGGCTGCCTCTACAGAGCCAATAAATCTGTTTTGTTTTGTTTTTCTCCCTCCTTTTCTCTCTCTCTTCCCCCTCCTCCAGGCCAGGACCCACTCCAACTGCTGAAAACCCTTCAGCTTCTCTGGACAAAGCATGAGCTGGGGAAGGTAAGGCTGAGCCCCTGCACACTGCAGTTCCTCTGGGTGCAGAGCATGTCCAGGCACAGGACACTCGGGTCAGATCCACAATCCTTCATGGCTGCTTTCATTCCAGCACTCAGGGAAAGAGCCTCTGCATTTGCAGCTACAAGTGAAAAGAAAAGGTAGCTTTGTGTGATGGGGAGCAGCTCAGGGGCTCCTAGAAAAGAACTGGAGTTTCCAGGGCTGAGTTACAGAATGAAAGAAAATGAAAGTTGCTTGTGTTTTGTTTTAAACACTTTTTTTTTGTCCAGTAAATGGAGGATCTTGGTGGGAGTGGGAGGAATATTTCTAGGAGCTGAAAAAAGAGAGTTGAAGTTGGTAGAGAAGTGCTTTTTGCCAAGTGGATACATCAAAACATTAATATTTTAAGGATTTTTTTTTTATTTTCTGATTTGGTTTGGTTTTGCCTTTTAGCATGGTGAATGCAATTTACACTGCTGTCTAAAATTAGTGCTGTATTTTTATACAGCAACCTGTGGGCTCTCCATCGAGATATCTCATAGGCAGTAAAATATATTTTCTCTAAATTTGTGAGCTTGAAAACTAACAAAAGCAGTAGACACATCAGCTGAGTGGTGAGTTTTCCATGTCTAACTCTGCTGTTCAGGCAGGTTCATAACTGAGATGGTTCCTTTTGTGGGAGATCCAAAACCCTGCAGCTCCCACATAAGCACTCAGAACGTGTCTGTGCCACATCCAGCAGGGCTGAGGACCTGGTGTACATGCTCCATCCGGGGTGTCTGGAGTGTTTAGGCATTTTCCTTGTCTGCTGCTCTTAGACTTTCCATTACTGGTAGTATGTGGTTGCCAGCTGGAATAAACAACTGGAAACCCAGTGTGAGAGGTGCCTTTCCAAATGGTCACTCACTGGCGGAGACTTGAGCTCAGCAACTCTGAAACCTTGAGCTTTCCATCAAGTTTTGTTAGAGCTAGAGGAAAAAAAAATATTATCCTTTAGGTCTGGAGGGCAGTTAATCCCACAAAACAACAGCAGGAAAGAGTAATCATCAAAATTTCTGCACTGGGTTCCCTGGGATCTGTATGTGGATTGGGAAATAAAATACTCTGGAAAATACAAAGTCTGCCATGGAGGTGTCCTTTGGCAGAGAGCACTGCAGTGATTCTGCTGGGGTAGAAAAGCTGGAGGAGCCCCACCAGTCACACATGCAAATCTGTGGATTCAGTTTTTTTCTGAATGGTTGTGGAATCCTCGACTGGTTTGGGTTGGGAAGGAGCTTAAAGCCCACCCAGTGCCACCCTTGCCATGGACAGGGACACCTCCCACTGTCCCAGGCTGCTCCCAGCCCCAATGTCCAGCCTGGCCTTGGGCACTGCCAGGGATCCAGGGGCAGCCACAGCTTCTCTGGGCACCCTGTGCCAGGGCCTCCTCACCCTCCCAGTGAACAATTCCTTCCCAATATCCCATCCATCCCTGCCCTCTGGCAGTGGGAAGCCATTCCCTGTGTCCTGTCCCTCCATCCCTTGTCCCCAGTCCCTCTCCAGCTCTCCTGGAGCCCCTTTAGGCACTGGAAGGGGCTCTGAGCTCTCCCTGGAGCCTTCCCTTTTCAGGGTGATCACCCCCAGCTCTCCCAGCCTGGCYCCAGAGCAGAGGGATTCCAGACCTCAGATCACCTTAGTGGCCTCCTTTAGATTCATTCCTACAGCTCCATGTCTTTCTTCTGCTGGGGGCCCCAGTGGCACTTGGGGTTTGCAGGTCCCCAGTGGGGTTTGCTGTGTGTCCCTCCTTCAGGCTGTGTTCTGGGCAGGAGGGTTTCTCAGCCTGGAGGATGCATTTCTGACCCCAAGGAAAGATTTGAGGGTGTCAGCCCCATGGTGGGGCCAGCTGTGGTGGGGAGACCCAGCAGGAATGTCCCTGTGGGTTCTGTCACATGCTCATCACAGTGTCCCCATGACAGGCTGATCCATGCCCAGGGCTGTGCACTGCCAAGAGGTGTAGACTCCCTTTTGAGGGGCTGGGCTGCCCTGCCCTCTGTGTGCAGCTCAGGTGGGCTGTCCTGCTGCTGCTACCCAAATGTCCAGCCCAAATAACAGGGCAGCTGACTTAAATCCAGCTCAGGCCACTCCAATGCCAGGTGAGTGTCAGGAGCTCCTTTGCCTCTCGCTGTGTGTGCCTGTAGGTCAGTATTGTCAGAACTGGGGTAARTCAGCCCCTTGGTCTCAATTCAGTGACTGTGGGCAGGAGGGTGTCTGCCATGGTGTGACCACAGTTCTGGACCATGGCTATAAGAAATGGTCGTTTCTTACATAGGAATGACAGTTTTGGAATAACCRGGAAGCATCAGCAGACTGCCCAGAGCTGTGGAACAAGAAATAGGGGACCAAAGCTGAATAAAGGAGTGTATAACTTGAGCATCAGCAACATTTTCCTATTCCCATGGTCTGTCAGGCTGTAGAAATCCCCCAAGGAGCATTCCCTGCCATGGGAGTCAATTGAAATGGAAATGGCAATTACACATTTGAGAGGAATCCTTCTCTGGCAGAGGGATGAGCCAGGCAGCGCAGCACTCTTTCCTCTCTGGTTTAGGTGCCTCATGCCCTTTTTGTTCCCTGCCTTTCCCCGTCAGACTGTACATGCCATAGCTKAAGGCTTGCTTGGAGCTTTGGAAGGAGGCTTTTTCCCAGCTCACCACAAAGGCCAGCCTCAGTGCAGATGAGCAGAGTTTGTGCTGCTGGTGATTGTGTCAGTGCTGGGCACTGCTCTTCCTGTGCCTGTGKGACCTGGTGTCTGCTGGACCCCATCCTGCCAAAGCCCAGGCTCAGATTCCAGCCCAAGGAGGAGCTGAGTGGGGTGGTGGAAGCTCCAAATGTGCTGAAGTGGGGGGAAAAAMGCCCTTTCCAAACAGTGCAATGGAGTTGGCGATTTGCTTTGTTTTCCTTTGGCTGTTGTATTGGATGTTTGTGGTTGGATAAAGGGCTCAGCTTTGGCTTCTGCTGCATCTCCCAGTGAAGTTGGAGCCCTGTGTTTAACATGGCAAATTCTTGACACAGGGAAAATTACTTACAGGGAGAATCTCTTATCTAAAGTCACATCTCTGTTAGTCATTGGCTTTTTCATGCTGCCTTTGATAGTCTAGTGAGAAAGAAACAGTTTCTGTCATAAATGATAGGTTCTGTGGGTTTTCCAGACATGAAAGACACTCTGGAAAATGACTGTCTTCCAGTAGAAATTGTCGATGAATAAAAAAAGAACAAAGTCATTGGCAAATTTTCTGTAGATTTTATTTTGTTTTCCATGTCATTCTTCAAACTTTATATTGTTTCCACTGGAAGATCTGAAAGGGGGCCATGAAATCCAGTAAATTACAAGTACTGGCTGCAGCAGGAGTGAGCATCTTTTGGATTTGGCTTTTTAGCCAGAAAAGAAAGAGAGCAGCTGCTCTCAATGATTTCTTGTTTTCCATCTCTGCTTTTGCCCTGCTCCACGCTGGTGATGTACCATGCAGTGAGAGGTCCTGTGTGGGTACTGGGATGCCACTTCCTCACCCTGCCAACACTCCCAGCTCCCTGGAAACTACTTCTAATGTAAACATTATAGAGATATTGCTCAGTACTGCTAATTTATCACTTCTACCAGATGGGGAGTAAGTAGCCTATTAACATTCACAAAGTGAGGGTCCAATTCCTTCACATTTCTAAACACATCACCCTGGGATTCCTAAGATTTATGGCATGGAGTTTTCCCATGTTCTGTGCCCCTTTGTGGGGCCTTTAGGCTCATGGAGGTGTGCAGTGCCCAGAGGGGCAGGAGGTGCTCGGGGAGATTTTGGAGGYTGGCAGTCTGACAGAACTTAAACTCAGATATTTCATTTACTTTGATCTTGAGTGTAAATCCGAACTGTTTTGAGACTCCCAAATATTCCAATTATGGTGAGGAGTGTTGCACCATTGTGGTTGAAGTGAGGATAAGGTCAAATATGCAAGTTTGTGGTGCAGCACTGAGGAGGGGTTCCTGCACTACTCCTTGTAGGTATCTTAGATGATCAACAGGTTTTTGAGCCCAGTTCTCTACCTTCAATATTGCCATTTTCCCAGTAAGACCCCTCTCTCCAGCTCACTTCTTTTCTCCCCCTCCCCCAATCCCAAGCCCCTTTGTCTGCCCCACAGAACAACTTCTCTGTCTTTATGGGATAATTAGTGTGGACAATTGCTGCTTTTCCCATTGGGTTTGAGGTTCAGTGAGCCATGAAGGAATCTGTAATGACATGAAAAGTCACTGGAGGCGCGGATGGTGGCTGAATAGCAACAGTTACCTCTCTGAATAGATTAAATTAAAAAAATAAAGCTTTGTGTTCAGCTGGGGGAAGGGAGGATTCACTAATCTTTTTGTACATGACAATGTGGTTTTGTATCTCGGCAGCTCAAGGAAGAAATCAGGCGGGGCTTTGCCAGACTGGAGGACCCTTTGGCAGGACTCCTGGCCATGCTGGAGAGCAGCAGCGATTGGAAGGGGAAAGGGCATTCCCTGGGGTATTGCATCACCAAAGAGCTTCAGCTTTGGATAAAAGAGCATCCTGCTGTCTCACAGGTTAGAAAAAGAGAAAGCAARAGAGCGGGGAGAGAGGAGAGAGAAATTGATTTGAATGTTCCTCAAGCATCTCCAGTTTCACTTTATTCTTAAGTCCAGCATCTTTTCTGTAGCCTTATACAGAGGACAAGGTGTGAAACTTACAGTGAGATGGTGTTATCTGTGGCATGCTGGCCTGAAAATGAAATCATACTGGAAGCTGTGCTGCCAGAGCTGTTTCCCCTCCAAAGCTGGGATTTCCATCTCTCTGGATCAAACCGCTTTGATCGAGAGTTGCTCTTGCCGCCTKTCCAGGCTGGAGGCTCTCCCACTGGAACCCACATCCCTGCTGTCAGGATAAGCCCAGTTGCAGAAATCTGCTYTATGTGTTCTTCCAGCTCTGCAAATAGAAGCCAGTTACTGTAGGATTGCTTAATTCCTGCCATATGGTGGGAATGCAGAAAATGGGAACAGCCTGCSTTTTCAGCAGCTGAATGATTAGTTCTGTAAAGTTGGGTCATCAGATTGTATGTCCTAATGCTTACCATTCCTTCTGCCTTCAGATATTCTGACCTACTGAGATTTTTCTGTAAGCTTTTGGCTCTGAACTGCAGGATACTCTTATATTTGCATTGCTTCCTTTCCCATTTTTCCAAATGGCTCTGGTTAGATGTTGAGCTCTGCCACTACAGGATCTGCWAAAGTGCAGCAAAGTGCTACTGGCACTGAAATTCCTGTGTCATGAGTGAATGATCACGTGGGAACACAAGGATTAATACCTGTGTCTGTGCATCTTTTTATGGTGCTTTTGCTTTTCCTATCCTTAATGAACGCAGCAGCAAGCCTGGGAATGAAAATGGMATTCTTATGCCTGATAGGTGAGCTSTCCCTGGAGGGGAGCTGCTGGATTCAAAGATTTTTCTGCTGAGAACTGGAGGGGAGAATTTCTGAAAAGCTCTGTTAGCACAGAGGGCATTTTTCCAGTTTCAGATTTTACTTTTGTACAAGGCCCTATCCCTTCTCCAGAATTATCCCACAAACATTTCATGTTCTTAAACTGGATGCTGTGAAAGAAATGTGTATCATATTGTTCTGATTTGTGCTTGCAGACTGTGGGGAAATCGGAGAATCCCTTCCAAAGGAATTCGCTTACTCTGTTTAAACAAGCTGCATTTTCAACCGCTGTTGAATCGCAGCCATCTTTACCAAACCTGTGTTTGATTTTTTTGGTTGTTTTTTGAAGTCTGGCACCAAGCTGAAGAAGCTGCAGGCCCGTGTGCTCGGATTGCTCTCTCAGTGCCCGGCTAATCTGCTTGACCCCCTGATTAGCATTTACCAGCTCCACACAGCGGACCGGAACTATTTGCTTGAACATGTCAGTCATCTTTATCTCCAGGGCAATTACAAAGAGGTGGGTCATGTCTTTCAAATAAATTTACCTTCCCAGCTCTCTGTGAATGTCTGTGTCCTTTTTTTTTTGGATGCATTTCAATGTGAATTCCGTTTCATCCCAGCAGCTGCACGCTGTGAATGCTGCAGCTTAACGTGCTCTTCCCATGTACAGGAGCAGGCTGGGCTCAACCTCGGCTTTTCTGCTGGCTGAGGACAGAATGCTGGGGAATCCTCCCTCCACTCGTTTGCTGACCTTTGAAAGTAATAGGATAATAGACTTTAATTTGGAGAATTTAAGGGGGTAGTTGTGTTCTTTTTTGTTTTCCTTGTCCTTAGCAAGAAAAGAAGGGATGTGAGTCCTTGRTCATAGACCTGCTGTGCTACCTCCAGCCTGCCTGCAGCCAGAGGGCTTGGAAGACCTCGCTGGTGCCACATGACTGCCCCAGACTCAGGTCTCAGTTGGAGAAGTTTCGAAGCCTCTTCACCACTGAGGCTCATATTCCAGATGTGTAACACCTCCTGGGTTTGTATCTGGGTGTTTAACACAGGCAGGAGTTCACCAGACCCAGGATCTGGTGTGTTTTACCCTCTTCTACAGCAGTACAGCATCTCTGGTATGGTTGCCCCATCCTTGGAATTGTTCCAGTCCAGGTTGGATGGGGATTGGAGTGAACTGGGACAAYRGAAGGTGCCCTGCCCATGGCAGGGGTGGAACTGGATGGTCTTGAAGATCCCTCCCAACCATTCTTTGATCTTTCTCTTTTAAAGGCAAAAACATTTGTTTTTCTCCCAGGAGCATTTGGTTCATTTGGATAGTGTAGAACAATTTGATCTTATTTAGCAAAAGTAAAARCTCTAATAGCATTCTTTAAATCCTGTTCTTCTGTAAAGCTGAATTCCTAAGTGAGATCCTAGAATCCCATTCTAGTTGATTTCTTTCAGTACTGAAACAAAGATATTTTGTATTTGATTTGAAATTCCCTGAAACTTACTCTTGTGYTCAAAAAGTTTTTGAATGTGGGTATTTGACAACTGAAACAGAAATGTCTTATTTGACAATATTCAAGTGGGATTTTTAGGTTCGTGGCTCCGAAGATATTTGTTGTTTTTATTAGAAATACAGTTCTTTCTAGATCCAGTTTTAGAAAGCTCTAGGTTTTTTTTTTTGTGGAATTGTTGTTCTGTTTTTTATTTCACAGCAGAGCTCATTTACTGCTCATTCCCAGTGTGAAGAATGGGAAACCTCAACAGCTTCTCAGTCTCAGCCATAACTTTCTTCTAGCTTTGTTTTGTTACCAGAAGGATGAATAGAATTATCTTCAAACATAACAGGAAGTCTTTACTGCCCTTGGGGACTGAAGAAACCTAAGTCAGACTAACCCCAAACAACCTGGAGTTAGGGCTCTGGGTGCCCTGTCTCTCAGCTGGGGCAGTGAAGGAGATTCACATGTAGGATTTTTGGCTCTTCAGTCTCCTACCTGAAAGGACAGAAATTCATAAAAATCCTGGCTGTCATTATTTATTTTCTTGCTGTATTGGCTATAGAACACCAGACATTTTACAGTTCAGTACTTTTTTAAAGGGGCTTAAAAAAAAAGGAGATGACATTTTTCATGGGCAGATAATGATAGAACAAAGGAAACTATTTAAAACTAAAAGAGGAGAAATTTAAATGGTGTATTGGGAAAAAATTTTTCCCTGTGAGTGTGGTGAGGCCCGGTGAGTGTGATGAGGTTGCCCAGAGAGGCTGTGGCTGCCCCTGGATCCCTGGCAGTGTCCAAGGCCAGGCTGGACACTGGGGCTTGGAGCAGCCTGGGACAGTGGAAGGTGTCCCTGCCCATGGCACAGGTGGCACTGGATGGGCTTTCATGTCCCTTCCAACCCAAAGCAGTCTCGGATTCTGTGATTTATTCCAGAGCAGATTTTTCCCTTTGTCTGTGATGTGCAAACCATGAATGTCCTCTGCCCTGAGAGTTAAGGCTCCTTTCCCTCATGGAGGTTTTGAAGAAAGTTCCCTTTGGAAAATGAGATCACAGAGCTCCCAGGGGATGGCCATGGCAATTGTTTGCCTCCCTTGCAGCTGGATTTGGCGGTGCTGGTGGAAGGCTGAACCGGGGCTCAGGGCAGGGCTGAGACAGGACACAGGACAGGAGCAGAGAGGGCTGGGTTGGGGTTCAGCAGCACGGGCTGGGTTGGGGTTCAGCAGCACGGGCTGGGTTGGGGTTCAGCAGCACGGGCTGG